CTGCCACAATATCGATAGTCCAGGTGATTCTGGTAAAACTTTTACTCATACAACCTTATATTATTTACTTAAAAACAGAGGAAAAGTAGTAAGTACTATGGCATTTACTGGTATTGCTACGGCATTACTTCCGAATGGAAGAATTGTACACAAAGTTTTTGGATTAACCGTACATCTTTTTAACAATTCGACATCAAATATTAAATTACAATCTAAAGAAACTAAGAAACTAAAACTAGATGTTTTTATTATGGATAAAGCTCCAATGGCACCACGTTATGTAATAGAAATAATGGATAAATCATTACGCGACATAATACAAAATGAGTCACATTTTGGTGGAAAAATCATATTTCTCGGTGATGATTTTAGACAATTACCTATAAAAGAAAGAGCTATACGTTGTGAAAATATAAATTTATTCATAAAATTTAGTGCCTTATGGAAACAATTCAAAATATTTTTATTAACGGAAAATATAAGAGCTTTACCACAAGAAAGAATTTGCACAATTTTTATATTATATTTAGATGTTACGTCCAGCCCAGAGTAAATTGTAAAATTAAAAACTAAGAAATTAAATGGATTGAATCCATTTCAATCCATTAATGGGCTCGGAAAGATGAACAGTTGCTCTCTCGAGAGTCAGGCGTGAAAACGTGATCTCGGGTCAAACGCATTGTTTATATCTCGGCACTCGGTCAACGATAAAGAATCGCTATGACGCCTCGCTGTAAACGTTTCGTCGATCATTTTTTGATAAAGAAACTTAATTCTTATTACCAGGGAAAGACCTCGTGCGATCAATGGAAATGAGGAAAAGAGATCGAAGGTTTTAAAGAAAGTAAAAATTAAAATTTAAATTTAAACATTGATTTTAATTGAAAATAAAGATATACATAAAAAGAGCGAAAGAAACAAGAGAACAAACATTTGTGTAGATATGTATATGTATCGCGGGTGTTACATAAGTGCGGAGGGCATCGGATAGGATTCTTACGAGGGAAAATATGAATGTATGAGTGAATCCTTGATATGATAATCCTACCCATACAACATACAATTAATACAATTAATATTCTCTGGTTAACTTAAACTAATAATTACATAATAAGTAAAGAAAATTACTAAAATATATAATAATAAAATCGTGTATAATATGTATATAATGATGGAAGATTAATACATGAGGTTAAGTGAGGAATATTCCTGATGTTCTTAGGA